CCATTATTCTAGAAAAAAATGTATTGTTTGTGTCAAATCATACATTTTTTGTGGTTGAAAATGAATGAAAAATTATTGATGTGATGGAAAATATTATTTTATTGATGAATGTGTGGTTGAAAATTAGTAGAAGAATGAGAATGAAAAAAAGAATGATTACCAAACGGTGCCTTAATTAGACAAAGGAATTCCGTGAATTACGTGGATCTATTACGTGTAAGATTTATAACCTATAAAGGCATAATGTAGCACGATTCAAAAAAATTCATGCCTTACAAGATTAGCGTGTATAACGAAATAATAATATTTTTCTATTTTTTAATATTATTTTAAGTATGATAGATAAAAAAAATAAAATAAAATTACACATGCCTTCAAGATTAGCGTGTATAACGAAATAATAATATTTTTCTATTTTTTAATATTATTTTAAGTATTATAGATAAAAAAAAATAAAAAAAAATTACACGTGCCTTCAAAATTTATAGAAACTTTACATAAATAGGTTTGGGTGAATATTTATTGAATCCATACAAAGCACACGCTTTTTTTTTTGTGTGTGTAGACATGCCCTAGACAATCAAAATTAAGTCGAGTGCCAATTTTCAAGCTAGGCACGAGAACGTTGAGAAGGGACATTTCCTCCGAGCCCTCGAACCTAAGCGGGGGCCTTATAGAACAGGGTTTAAAGGAAGTAAATATATTTTCTAGCTACTCGTTTGTTTAGCATAATATTAAAATTCACGGCACTAATAAAAATTATTTCATTAAAAAAGTAACATTTCAAGTTAAACAGATCATACTCTTGTTTTGTTGTGGGTAGTAGCAAACGTCAATTGCAGTCTATCGTCTTCACATTTATGTTTTCGCACGCGTTCCTTTACTTTTTAAGTAAAACAATACTTATTTTTTTTCAAAATTATTTATTATAGAAAATAAGGGTAGCCAAACATGCATTACACTTGATAATTTAGCTGGCATGATTGAAATCCAACCCATCTATAATACAATCATGCTTAGTGTACACTTTGGTATACACCAAGTTTGACAGTTTGCCACATGTCAAACTGTCATTTGACAATTTAGGGAAAAAAAAAAAATTCCCTCCAACATTTTTTTTTAAAACAAATGCAATGATGTACACTTTGAAGTGCACAAATGGCATTTCCCTGTGTCATGTTATTGGATTAGTCCAAGACCTATTACACTGATAGTGTCTCTCTTTTACCGAGTGGAATACGAACAGCAATTCAAAATCCAAATTCAATGATCTCATCATTGCACATTTTACTCATAATTTCTGGATAAAATCACAGCACATTTTCAACCTAGATAATCAATTTAAGGATGCCAGTCAAACGTTAGCTTTTGAAATGCAAGTGATACAACTATAATATTATCGAAACAATGACACCACCAAATGTCTACATTCGAAATTTGCATTTTTGAGTACCTTTATCGAAAAATTTTGGCAAAGGGCATTGCATTGAAAGGTGTTTAGGTCTAGAAAGAAGGGTAAAATTACACAAATCATAGATTGTATCTCTAGAGGAAAAGGAAGCACATTACTCATCGTCTTTGTATGGATACTCCTCGGGAACTTGCTTCAGAAGTTTCACCTGCAACTCAAATGCATCATCCCCTCTAAGCATATCTCGCAGCCATGTGACTTCAGTTTTCATTGACACCTGAACAAAGAAAGTAAATTGCATGTCACCTCGGTTTGTGCTCAATGTGTACACGAGGTTATTCTAACATGGTGGAGCTATTCATCGCAATCAATTAACAGCAGTATAAATTTTATCATGAGAAAATGCCAGGCAGAAACAGATTAACCTCGAGCATCTTCGAGCAGAGGGATTATGCTGTCTTCTATTGGCCAAAACCACAGTGACATTTCTGTCACCCCACCCCCCCTGATACCTGATCCCTTCCCCCTCTCCCAGCTCTCTCTTCATAATAAAGTTTTTTATATCATAATAAATAGTTTTGATTGGGAGAAGTCAACAATCAACATATTAAATGGCACATTTCACAATAACAAAACAAATTCTCGATCATATAATGAAATAAACAAATTTATGAAAATGCATGCAGCAGATGCCCACTCCAAAAACATCATTTTTTTGGTCGAAGTTGCTTTTCTTTTTGTCTCCCTCACTTTCTTTTTTCTGTGAGAGTTTGGGGAATATCCCCATTCATAGGTCCAAGATCTACATCGATAATTTAGAAAGGTCCGAATAATCAATTCTGCAATTAGTTGTTAGAATTAAAACAAATTCTCAATCACGTAATGAAATAAAATAAAAAAATTGAGAAGATGCATGTAGCAGATTCCTACTCCAAAAACAACATCATACATAGTAAGGATAAGGTGTTCATAGAGGAGGGACAGCTCACCATCTCGAGAGCTCCTCTGATAACTCCACTTAAAACGTTGCAATAATATAGACCTTGACAGGTATCAGGAAGCTCAACAAAATCTACAAGAGGATTATCCTCCAATATTATACTGCAGGTTGTTCCTTCAGCATCCCAATTGGAGACTGATGCAGTAACTCCCAGGAACATTTTGAATCCTACCTGTTCATATGACATCTTAATAAGGTCCTTAATGAACCAAACATTCCAAAATAGATTCTCAAAAGGACAATTAATACAGAAAAACCATTTCAAAATAATTTAGAGCATGTTTGAGCCCCATTTTTTTTTTTTTTTTAAAATGAATTTTGGAATAGTGATTAGATGGAGAATGTGTTGTTAAAAAATAAGAAAAATTTTGGGTTTGGGTGTAATATCGTGGGATTTTTTTTTTTTTTTAAAATGCATTTTGGAATAGTGATTAGATGGAGAATGTGTTGTTAAAAAATAAGAAAAATTTTGGGTTTGCGTGTAATATCGTGGGATAGGATGTCAGATGGAGAGAGACAGTGAATGCATAATCAACTTGAAACTGACAGTATGCTTGCAACAACTCAATATTTCTAAATGTAAGAACTTTTTCGCCCCATCTATTTCATTATTCAAATACTATTGGAAGGAATATTCAACATTTTTTCCAACCTAGTATACACATTGATTGTCCAAAACAGGCATTCAATTACACGAAGTTACTAGACCCTGGCCATATGAAGCGAGTTCTAGTACTGCATATGGGTAAAATAACCAAAAAGATACTTGTCACGGTTCAACTTTCGAATTACAAAACTAACAAAATGATCTACTAAGGGGATAAATGCTACATTGACATAGTCAATTGATGAAGATACATAAAACATTTTGGCATTCAATAAAAAATGTGCTTATAAACTCTAGGCGTGGAAACACATTTTTCGAGACTATCAGCTCTCAAGGCTTATTTGAGAACATATGCAGTTATTTGTTCAGACAAAGTTGCTATAATGTCCTGGGCAGAAAGTTCTAATGTTATCCTCTTTTTCCAGCAACATCAAGTGGCTTTATTAACATACAATAAGATGTTCATAGTTCCTGCATGTATCTTTTATAAAAAATCTATGTGAGCTGATTCAACATCCTGCAATTTGAAGCAATATTACAGATTCATCTAGAATTCAATAAGCTGTTCTCAAGGGACCAGCTATCCAATTTTACGGACTCGCAAAGCTTCCCAGGCATGACTCGGGAGAATTTAAACATTTAAAACAGAAAATGCCTGAATTCAGAAGCCACCTTACAGTGTAATATCAGATGATTATGATACCAATTGATTTAGATCCTCTTTATTTCCTAAAATCGCGTTCTTTGGAAAAGATGTAAACTACCCTTTTAGTAACCAAAAATAGAGGTACCTGACTGGTTTAAGAACACTCCTATTGCATTCTTTATCAGTCTATTCCAAGCCATTAATTGATTAGTAACAGATTGACCTCATATAAAACGCAATGTCTCTTATCTTTTTTCCCCTCTAAAAGACATGATAAGATCATACTGCAATATATCTTTACTTTTATCTCCTTTTCCAGGTTACTGATACTGAGGCCAAATTCTGTACCATTCTAAAACTACAATCCAAAACTCAGAACAGCTGAAATTCCTAAACTTAATCCAATATAAAGGTGAACGGTAACAAATCTGAACAAATAGTACGAGTACACCACCTTGGCAATGACTTCAGCTGTTTCCTTAAAATCAACACATCTCGACACATTAGATTTCGCAAGAAATTCATCCACTAGCCGGACCCCAATATTATAGCCCCTGCAATAAACACAAGTAATCGAAATTCAAGGCAGAAATAGCACTTCAGGTAATCAAATAATCATGAAAAACAAGTTTAATTACTACAAAATTCTCAAAGTCATTTCCTTCTATAAGAATTTAAAATCAATTAAAAAATCAATCACATTTGATCGAGCTGTTTGTTGACCTCCTCCACCTCTTCCAGATCGGTGAGCAGCTGACGCACTATAGCACCATAAGTCAGAGTGAAGAGCTCCGCATTCTACGAATATTTTACAACACTAATTAACCAAGTTTACACCAAATTGCACGGTTCAGCGATTAGGATCAAACAGTATGAATTAGGGTTGATTGTTTTGAGAAATTATACTTACCACGCGTTCAACGCTAGCGAAAATAGCATCGCCAGACCTTGGAGCAACGGGAGCCATGGAGAGAATTCAGATTTTTTTTTTGCTTTAGCAGCTGTGAAATTGAAGATCTGAGCGATAACAGAGTATCGATGAAAGTGATTCTGTGATGAACGGGAACGCCTTTTCAAAAAGCGCGTGGCAGTGAACTGAGAGCGTGGTGCAGTGCATAAATCGCATTTTATATTTGGTGCATCGTTCCGTCAATTATTATTGATTTATTTATTATTCATCAAATCTCTTTTTATTTTTTTATTTTTTTTCAAAAAAAAAAAAAAATCTCTTTTTATTTATAAATTTTTAATTATTATTATTTTAAGTTTGCTAAAAGATGATAAAAGTCGGTGAGCTCCATAAGCGGATAAATTTGGATGACCCAATCGAAATTTAATTAAAATTTCAGTGACCAAAAAAAAAAAAA